GGGTTCAAGTGATCCTCCTGCCTTAGCCTCCTGAGTAGCTAGGACTACAGGTGCCTGCCATAATAACTGGATAGTTTTTCTATTTTTAGTAGAGATGGAGGTTTCAGTCCTACTCAATCTGGTTTCAATCTCCTGAGCTCAAGGGATCCTCCTACCTTGGCCTCCTAGAGTGCTGGGATTACAGGTGTGAGCTACATTGCTCAGTCTTATATATGCCTTTTATGTAGCGTTGAAGAAAGAGCAGCACATTCACAGATTTTTAAGCTATAGGGCACCCACATCAAGCCACGTTACATGTCAACAATGCTTCGTTGTAGTGCAGTGTTACTGAAAGCCTTCTTGTTCATTGGAATGTATTTAATAAGAAAACAGGTGGAGAGTGTTGCTGGGGCTGGGTTAGAATGGAGAGGATGGACCAGGGTCCAGGGCCAGAGCAGGGAGCCCAGGTTGGGGGTGAGAGCCAGGGGCCGGGTCCAAGGTGCACCCCCCAGGGCAGGGTGAGATAAGAGCATCTACCCAGCATCCCCTGGCCCGGCCACTCTCTTGTTTCCAGCACTTGTCATCCGTCCCTGTGATGATACACTTTCAGCCACACATTTCAAATTAGCAGACAAACAGGACTAACTGTTATACATGTTCAGATAATATTTAGCTCTAATGGATTTTACTTTTTAAATTGACTCTCTGTTCCAGGGTAGAAGTAGTGTTTTGTCTCCAGGTCATACTGTCTTAAAGAATGTTTACAGAGGCGAGAACAGACTGCCAAGCAGGGAGACGCGCTGACTGGGAACTCCAGAGGATGAGTGGAAGGTCTTGCCTTTCATTTTATTTGGGAGTTTTTCCCCTAGACTATCCAGTGTGACTAAAGTAAAAAATATTCGGTGGTATCACCTTTTAGATGGATTTTCTCAGCTGCATTGCTAGTTTCTTTGGAGACAAAAGTAATTATTTCCAGTTCTCTGGAGGGTTCTGAGAGGGGCTGAGGCAGCCCTGCAGAAGCTTAATTGAAAAGAAAGCAAAAGAGCCCAGAGAGACCCAAGATGCAGGGGCTTTCCTGCATCCCCCTGAGTCCCTCAGCGGGAATTTTTGGCCCCTCTAAACAGAGGCATATAGTTTCTAGATAAGAGCTATTTGTGTAGATGTGTGACTTTCAGAGGTTAAGGTCTGGAAGCTGGAAGGTGCACGGAAGAGGTGAAGGAAGGCCTTCCGGCCCTGCTCTGTGGCCCAGGCTGTGACCAAGGCCGCGACCTTCTGTCTCACGTCCCCTTCCCATGCTGCCCCCGTTGCTGCCCAGCGACGGTCGGACAGACAGAGCCTGTCTTGTGCTGTGTGGGCTCTCCATCTTTGAGACCCCTGTCCCGTGCAGCCCACCCGCCCAAAAACACCCTCTCACCTATGTAGACAGGAAGGGTATTTGTTTGGAATACAAGGTTCAGTCTTCTATTGCAGATTTTGAAATGGTTTATGTAACTGAGAAATTCTTTACTTACTTTGGAAGAAAAAGGTCTCACGAATAAAGCAGGTGGGCCGGTGGCTGGTTGTTTAAGGGAGCTTGTTCCTGTGGGAGCAGAGCTTGGCCTTGTGGGGTCCTGCGTTGGGGGCTGAGAGCTCACTCCCCTCCTTGGAGAAGCCCCTCACTCCCACAGATGCTGTTAGATGCTGCTGCTGTTTAACTTTAAAAAGCCCAGTGCTGATGGCTGGCTCTTTCAGAGGGAGACACTTGAAGCCCAAGCAGTAAGAACTTAAAAGCTGAATTTAGGGCCAGGTGCAATGGCTCACACCTGCTTTTCTAGTACTCTGGGAGGCCAAGGTAGGTGGATTGACTGAGCTCGTGAGTTTGAGACCAGCCTGAGCCAGAGCGAGAACCTTGTCTCTAAAAATAGCCAGGTATTGTGGTGGGTGCCTGTAGTCCCAGCTACTTGGAGGCTGAGGCAAGAGAATCACTTAAGGCCAAGAGTTTGAGGTTGCTGTGAGCTGTGATGTTCTACCAAGGGTAGCGGTGAGACTCTGTCTCAAAAAACAAAAAACAAAAACAAACAAAAAAAAAACTTGAATTTAACCAGTTCCCGATAATTGGGATTCTCCAACAACTTGGAAACTTCAGAAGGGATTCTCATGAGCACTGCTGTGTTTGGGTCAAGCTCAAGGGCTCTGCCCACTCAGTACTTACATGAAATATTAACCCTTGGCATTCTGGCCACTTGGGACTCTGATTTAATTTGCACCAGGTGCCCTGCCTCCTGCTGGCCTGAGAGTGGCAACCCTCCCCTCCCTCCCCATGGTCAAGGCCTTGCCACCATGCATTGGTTAAGAGAATTTAATCCCCATTGTGGATAACACCTTAATACGCTAAAAGAAGATTACATGTTTTTAAAACCTTCCTTCCATTTGTTCTCGTCCATTTGACAAATAGGACATTATTATTCCCAGGACAGCAGAGGCAGAGGCTGAAAAGGATTTGGCCCCAGTGGTGCCAACGGTCCAGTTGACCCCATAGGCAGTGGTAGTGTTTTGTTTGGCTGTATTGAAAGGTTGGAAGGTGTTCAGAGTGTTTTGTTAATGAACTTTTCCATCTGAACACTGATGGGAGGCCAGAAAGGACTTTTCTGCTGACTGGTCTTATTTGCTTATTTATTTGAGCCCAAGTCTCTGTCACACTGGGTAGAGTGCTATGACATCATAGCTCACAGCAACCTCAAACTCCTGGGCTCATGCAATCCTCTTGCTTCAGCCTCCTGTGTAGCTGGGACCTCAGGTGCCACCATGCCAAGCTAATTTTTCTATTTTTAGTAGAGATGAGTCTCATTCTTGCCCAGGCTGCTCTCAAATTCCTGAGCTCAAGAGATCCTTCTGCCTCGGCTTCCCAGAGTGCTAGGATTACAGGTGTGAGCCACTGCACCTGGCCTTGCTGACTGGATTTTATTTAGAGGGCGGGAAGGTCTGGGGTAAGACCTCCCAAGCATTTTTGGGAAAAGGACTTCTGACTTGGAACAGTCCCATTTAGTGGTTGTGGTTACTTTTGTGATATGGTACGGATGGTTAATTGTGAGCTTTGGAGTTTTGCATCCTAGAAGTTTTTAGGTCCTTATATTTTATTTTTATCTTATATATTTAATTGGGTTTAAACAGGTGCTTGGGTTCTTTGTGTATCAGAGAGTGGGCAGGTGGAGTTTGGTCTCTCTCTGTATCCAGTTCTACAGGATACAGAGAAACCAAATTCTTTCTTGCTCAAATCAAGGCCTTAATTAAGCTATTTGTTTTCTTAGTAACATTCTGATTAGCCTAGTATAGAAGTTTCCAGAAAAATAACAAAAGTACAGAAGTATACGACTAAGTCATGGTCTTTTTATTTATTTATTTTACTTTAAGCAGTGAAAGGCAGCAGCGGTTGAGACAAGGACAGGAATTTTCCTGGTGTCATATCATCAGTGTTCATAACTCATCTGGCCCCAAAATATGTTGCTCCTAAAAGGATTGTTTGTAGGTCATTTATTTTTAACGTGAAAAGACAACATTTCTTATACAAACATTTTTTGTTCCGACCCTTTGTGAACTCTGGAGATGGTGGAAATATGTAACTAATCTATGAGAATCAATCTTCTGGACACGACCTCACCAGAATGGGTGAGAATAAGGGTTATGTGACCTCCTGCCAGTATTGAGAAGGTGATTTTCTTTTCCTGGATCTCTGGCATCAAGGTCTCTGATCACGGACATTGGGAGCTGACCCCCCACCAGGGGCTCAGTGTACAGGTCCCATCTGTGTTCCATAGGGGAGGGGAGTGCACAGAGCCCTCGGGGTGGGGTGTGGGTGTGGGTTAGGGGGCAGCCCGTGACTGAGAAAGAAAAGGATGAGTGTCCTAGCTTGGATCTTTGGTAGTAAGTGGCACAGTCAGACAAAAGAAGTATTTTGATAAGCTTGATATTTTAGGTTTTGATAAATCCACCAGAGAATTAAAGAATTTTCTCTTCCTCCCCAAGTGACTCCTTGGAACGGGGTCAGTGGCTCTTTTGGGAATGTAGAGGTCAGTCTTGCCTTACCCTCAGCCTCTTTGTGACTTAGCTTTGGCTGGACACACTGGCCACCTATTGGACCCTCTCCTCCCACCGGGTTGTCTAGTGACTGCTGGCCTGGCCACCCAGCCTCCCGCTCACCTCCTCCCAGCCAGTGCACACCTGGCCCTGTAACTGCCTGGCAAGGCACTTGCTTGCTGTTCTGCCCAGGGGTGGCTGCCCTCTCGTCCAGGATCTGCTCCTGAGGTAGGATGCTGTGGCAGAAACTAGATATTTCTCTGGGCTGTGAGAGTTATACAGATTCTCTCTCTAAAATGCTTTGTGCCTTATGTCAGGAATATAGTTTGGTTTATTTCTGAAGTGACTACTTGTCTTATAGATTCTTGAATGAGCTCACTTTATAATTATGTTTTTTGTATGCTTGGATAACATTTTAACTTTTTGATATTTTAGATATTCTTTGAATTGCTCCCAGATTTTACAAAACCATGATATATTAATAATTATTTAGGTAGAAGAAATTTCTGGCATTCTGGGTAAATTTTTAAAATTTTTTTTATTTGTGACATCTATAACTTCTGTTCTTTTTAAGACTCGTTTTTAGCAATAGAAAATGGCAAATATCTTTTGCTCTGTCTGGGGAAATGAAAAATCAGCTGTTGTGGAGAAGTGGAACAAAGCAATATTTACAGAGAAAGAAACTCCGTGATGTGTGGGCAGGGCAGAGCTAGATTTGGGCAAGACCACGTTAGCTCCTGAGAAATCCACCAGAAAACAAAGCTTCAAAGTATTGTTTCTAGTTCTGAAACTACTACGTAATAGAAAAGTCGTGACTCTGAGTATCCGTCATGTTCAAAATTCTGATTTCTTGTCTCTGATAATGTGTACAGTCCAGATTGTTTTATTCAGTGGAATGAAGATGCCTGTGATACGAGGCATCCTCCTTTCCTTGAAAGACATTTCATGCATACTTGTCTGTCCTCCAGGTGGTGGTCTGTCATGCTGTGGGCCGAGCAGCCCAGTTCTCCGTCAGCGCGGGGCCCGCCTCGGCTTTGGGTGTGGGACGCCAGCCGTATGATGTGTGGCTGTCCCCAGTCCATCTGCGGGTAAGGCTGGGCTGATTTTACAGGTGGTAGGAAAAGTGTTCTCAGAGACTTACAGGGTAAGCAGGGTGGGAGTTACAGGGTTGCAAATAGTCATGTCTTCATTAATTACATTCACAAAATAGTGTTAAAAATGTAAGATTCCATATTATACTTCTGTGTATCTGACACCACACACATATATGTGAGTGCGTGGGGGGTTGTATTCAGGGGTTGCCTGTTTTAGGTGTTTAAATGAGTCGGGGTATTGATGACTGACAGAACAAGGTAAGTGCCGTCTCAGATGATGAGAGTGGTTTTAGTTCCAGCTCTGGCTCTAGACCAGGCGTCCTCAAACTACCACTCACAGGCCACATGCAGCCCCCCTAGGACATTTATCCAGCCCGCCGGGTGTTTTTGCTGCCACTGCGTGTCCTGCTTAGCAGCCGACTCGTCCGGGAGCCTGCAGTCCAGCCCTCCAGCGGTCTGACGGACAGTGAACTGGCCCCCTGTTTAAAAAGTTTGAGGACCCCTGCTCTAGACTTAAAAGTGTGTCACTTGGGAAAACAGCTGGGGAATTCCTCCTCTTAGTTATGGAGAAAGTCAATTTTATTTTATTTTATTTTATTTTTTTTTGAGACAGAGCCTCAAGCTGTCCCCCTGGGTAGAGTGCCTTGGCATTCAAGCTCACAGCAACCTCCAACTCCTGGGCTCAAGCGAGTCTCCTGCCTCCGCCTCCCAAGTAGCTGGGACCACAGGCACCTGCCACAACTCCCGGCTATTTTTTGGTTGCAGCCGTCATTGTTGTTTTTGGCGGGTCCGGGCTGGGGATTCGAACCCGCCACCTTAGGTGTACGTGGCTGGCGCCTTAGCCAGTTGAGCTATAGGCGCCGAGCCGAGAAAGTCAATTTTAAAAGAACACTTGTTATTTTTATAAGTTAAGAAAAAACCTTAATATTAATTATCACTATTCCCTTATTTTTGATAACAGGCATATATAAAATACATATAATTTTGTGGTGAGAGATGCACAAACCAGTGGTCACTGTGACGGTCTCAGTGACACTCTGGGTTCTTGGCCATTAAACAGCTGTGCGTTTCTCACATGAAGCAAAATGTTTACTGGAGGTCCCAGTTAGCTGGTGCTTAAAAATCGCAAATGGTCACCTTATTCTGGTCAAGGGATCGACACAGTAAGAGTACATTTCAATTCTAAATATATGTGCACCCAACTTAAATACTCCCAGATCTATGAAACAGACCTTGATTGGTCTAAACAATATGATATCACAAAACATCATAATAGCTTGGGACTTTAACACTCCTCTGGCAAAACTGGACAGATCCTCTAAACAGAAACTAAGCAGAGTTACCAGGACTTAAAGATGACCCTAGAACAATTAGGCTTAATAGACTATACAGAATACATCATCCCAAAGCTAAGGAATATATGTTCTTTTCGACAGCACATAGAACATATTCCAAAATAGATCATATCCTAGGATACAAATTAATCCTCAACAAAATTAAAAGAATTGAAATTATACCTGTATCTTCTTTGACCATAAGGCAATAAAGATGGAACTCAACTCTACCAAAAATTTTCATTCCCACACAAAGGCATGGAAATTAAACAACCTTTTGCTGAATGACAATTGGGTCAATGAAAAGATAAAGGAGGAAATTATTAAATTCCTTAAACATAACAGGGATGAAGCTACAAGTTACCAAAACCTGTGGGACAGTGCAAAAGCAGTCCTAAGAGGGAAATTTATCACATTAGATGCCTACATCTGAAAAACAGAGAGTTCATCAATAAACTAATGAATCATCTTAAGGAAATGGAAATGGAAGAACCATCTAATCCCAAGCGAGGCAGAAGAAAAGAAATAATCAAAATAAATGAAATTGAAAACAAAAAGGAACCATTCAGAAAATTAATGAAGCAAAAAGTTGGTTCTTACAAAAAATAAGTAAAACTGATAAACCTTTGGCCAGATTAACCTAGAAACAGAGAAGTAAAATCTCTGATAACCTCTGGCTAAGGCGCCAGCCACACACACCTAAGGTGGCGGGTTTGAATCCCCAGCCCGGGCCCGCCAAACAACAATGATGGCTGCAACCAAAAAATGGCCAGGTGTTGTGGCGGGCGCCTGTGGTCCCAGCTACTTGGGAGGCTGAGGCAGGAGACTCGCTTGAGCCCAGGAGTTGGAGGTTGCTGTGAGCGTGATGCCATGTCACTCTACCCAGGGGGACAGCTTGAGGCTCTGTCTCAAAAAAAAAAAGAAAAATCTCTGATAACCTCAAAAAAATGAAAAAGGGGAAATAATAACAGGCATCATAGAGATATAAGAGATTATCTCTGACTACTACAAGAAACTCTATACCCAGAAATTTGACAGTGTGGAGGAAATGGATCAATACCTGGAATCACACCCTCTTCCTAGACTTAACTAGGAAGAAATAGGTCTCTTTTTTTTTTTTTGAGACGGAGCCTCAAGCTGTCCCCCTGGGTAGAGTGCTATGGCTTCACTGCTCACAGCAACCTCCAACTCCTGGGCTCAAGCGAGTCTCCTGCCTCAGCCTCCCAAGTAGCTGGGACTACAGGTGCCCACTACAACGCCTGGCCCTTTTTTTTTTTTGGTGGCAGCCATCATTGTTGTTTGGTGGGCCCGGGCTGGGGATTCGAACCCGCCACCTTAGGTGTATGTGACTGGCGCCTTAGCCGCTTGAGCCACAGGCACCGAGCCAGAAATAGGTCTCTTAAACAGAGCAGTATCAAGCACTGAGATGGAAGAAACAATAAAAAAGCCCTGGACCACATGGCTTCACATCAGAATTCTATTAAACCTTCAAAGAAGAGTTTGTACCACAGAAACTATTCCAAAACATCAAGGAGGAAGGAATCTTCCCAACACATTCTATGAAGCAAATATCACCCTGATACCAAAAACCAGGAAAAGACCCAACTAAAAGGAGAACTTCGGACCAATTTCACTAATGACTATAGATGCAAAAATTCTTAATAAAATCTTAGCTGATATATTACAGCAATACATTAAAAAAATTATATATCACAGTAGGCTTTATCCTGGGGTGCAAGGCTGGTTGAATATGTGCAATCCATAAATATAATTCACTATATCAACAGGAATAAAAACAAAGACCATATGATCCTCTCAATAGATGCAGAAAAAGCATTTGACAAAATTCAGCATCCTTTTCTAACAACACTTAAGAATATAGGCATAGGTGACACATTTCTTTCTTTCTTTTTTTTTTTTTTTGGCAGTTTTTTTGGCTGGGGCTGGGTTTGAACCTGCCACCTCTGGTATATGGGGCCAGTGCTCTACTCCTTTGAGCCACAGGCCCAGATGCCACATTTCTTAAATTGATTGAAGCCATCTATGACAAACCCACAGCTAATATCTTACTGAATGGAGTAAAACTGAAAGCTTTTCTACTTAGAACTGGAACTAGACAAAGACGTCCACTATCACCACTACTATTCAACATTGTGCTGGAAATTGTAGCCAATGCAATCAGGCAAGAGAAGGAAATAAAGGGCATCCAAATGGCTGCAGAGGAGGTCAAACTCTTGCTCTTTGCTGATGATATGATCTTATTCTTAGAGAACCCCGGAGACTCAAACATAGGATTCCTGGAAGTGATCAAGAAATATAGGAACATCTCAGTGTGTGAAATCAGTGTCCACAAGTCAGTAGCCTCTGTGTATGCCAGCAGCAGCCAAGTTGAGAAGCTAATCAAAGACACAGTTTCCTTCATAGTAGCTTCAAAGAAAATGAAATACCTAGGAATGCATCTAACAAAAAAGGTGAAGGACCTCTGTAAAGAGAATTGTGGAACTATAGGAAAAGAAATAACAGAAGACATTAACAAAGGGAAGAGCACACCATGCTCCTAGCTGGGAAGAATCAACAATGTTAAAATATCTATACGTCCCAAACCAATCTATAGACTTAATGTAATCCCGATTAAAATACCAACATCATACTTTGAAGAACTGGAAAAAGTAGTTCTTCATTTTGTAGGGAATCAAGGGAAAAAACCCTATAGCCAAAGCAATTTTTAATAAGAAAAATAAAGCTGGAGGCATCACTCTTCCAGGCTTTCGGCTATGTTACAAGTCTGCAGTGATCAAAGCAGCGTGGTATTGGCACAAAAATAGAGACATAGATATTTGGAACCACTTAGAAAACCAAGAGATAAAACCAGTCTCTTATAGCCATCTGATCTTTGATAAACCAAATAAAAGTATACACTGGGGAAAAGAATCCCTATTCAATAAATGGTGCTGGGAAAACTGGATAACTACATGTAAAAGATTGAAACTGGACCCATATCTTTCACCACTTACAAAAATTGATTCAAAATGGATAAAAGATTTAAATCTAAGGCCTGAAACAATAAAAATTCTAGAAGAAAATGTGAGAAAAACTCTCGAGGATGTTGGCCTGGGGAAAGATTTTATGAAGAAGACTTCCATGGCAATTACAACAACTAAAACAAATGGGACTTAATTAAACTGAAAAGCTTCTGCACAGCTGAGGACACAACAATCAAGCAAATAGCCTTCACAATGGGAAAAGATATTTGCATGTCACAAATCTGACAAAGGGTTGATAACTAGAATCTACAGAGAACTCAAATTAATCAACAAAGAGCCAACAATCCCATATATCACTGGGCAAGAGACATAACAAAACCTTCTCTGAGGAAGACAGACTAACGGCTAATAAACATATGAAAAAATGCTCGTCATCTCTAATCATCAGAGAAATTAAAATCAAAACCACCTTGAGATATCACCTAACTCCAATGAGAATGGCCCACATCAAGTAATCCCCAAGTTGGTGATGCTGGCGTGGATGTGGAGAAGGGTAAACACTTTTACACTGTTGGTGGGACTGCAAACTCATACAGCTTTTTTGGAAAGAAGTATGGAGAATCCACAAAGAACTCAAATTAGACCTTACATTTGACCCCACAATCCCACTACTAGGCATCTACCCAGAAGAAAAAAAGTCATTCTATCATAAAGACATTTGCACTAAATTCATCTATCACAGCTCAGTTTACAATGACCAGGAAGGGGAAACAACCTAAATGCCCGTCAGCCCAGGAATGGATTAAGAAGCTGTAGTATATGTACTGTTCTGCCATAGAAAGATGCAGACTTTACATCTTTTATATTAACGTGGATATAGTAGTTGAAACACGTTCTTAGTAAAGTATCACAAGAATGGAAAAGCAGCTCAGCGCCTGTGGCTCAAGCGGCTAAGGTGCCAGCCACATACACCCAAGGTGGCAGGTTTGAATTCAGCCCGGGCCCGCCAAACAACAATGACGGCTGCAACCAAAAAATAGCCGGGCGTTGTGGC